GAGGATATGTTGGGTAGTTCCAAAAATATCCATACCTCTTCGGGGGGGGGATTGGAATTACTAAGGGGTGAGGAGGGTCTGAGGGTATATTGTGTAGTACCAGAAAATATCCATACCTCCCTCATGGAGGGGGATTGGAATTACTAAGGGGTGGGGAGGGTCTGAGGAGGGTATATTGTGTAGTACCACAAAATATTCATACCTCCCTCATGGAGGGGGATTGGAATTACTAAGGGGTATGGAGGGTCTGAGGAGGGTATATTGTGTAGTTCTGGAAAATATCCATACCTCCCTCATGGAGGGGGATTGGAATTACTAAAGGGTGGGGAGGGTCTGAAGAGGGTATATTGTGTAGTACCAAAGAATATCTATACTTCCCCAATGGAGGGAGATTGGAATTTCCAAGGGGTGGGGAGACTAGGGTCTGAGGAGGGTATATTGTGTAGTACCAAAGAATATCTATACATCCCCAATGGAGGGAGATTGAAATTTCCAAGGGGTGGGGAGGCTAGGGTCTGAGGAGGGTATATTGTGTAGTACCAAAGAATATCTATACATCCCCAATGGAGGGAGATTGGAATTTCCAAGGGGTGGGGAGGCTAGGGTCTGAGGAGGGTACTGGGTATAGGATATTTATGATAGAGAGGAGAATAGTCTGAGAAAGTCATATCTTAGTACCCCAGTAAAAGTATTAAATGCCTTTTTGAAGGAGAAAACAGTCACTGTATCTATGATGTGCTTGAATTCATTTACTTTCTCGTGGTYGAAGTCAGATCTTCATTGTTATTATCACTATTTGTATTTCAGGTCTGCTGGGGGCATTCTGTCCTTGCATATTAGCAATCCAGGTCTCGCAGCGCTTGGGTGAAGGTTGTTGCTTTGTATGTTGTTGCCAAGGTGCTTTGCTTGCCTTGCGTGCAAAACTCAGGACTGAGCAAAATATTCAGGTATGCAAGAACTTGTTTGTAATGTAAACTGTGGGTGGGATGAGTGAAGAAAGTAGGAGTTAAGGAATGAAGCTCCTCAATAGGCCCATGACAAGGCTGGGTTTGTGCAAGTTATACAGTATAAAGGCTGGCAGAAGTATCTACTCTTCTCCCCCTGGGTATGAAAATAAAATTTTTTTGAATTTGTACAATCCCACTGCCTTTMTAGATTACAGACTCATTTAGTCAGGGTTATGGTGCTTAAAATAGTAGCTGGTCACTGCACAATGTCTGGCCAGATTTGAATCTTGACCAGGCGAATTTTTACCTTGCAAATCAATTTAAACAGTAGCATTRAACCAGAAATGCGGTATGCCCGAAAAACTAATTTGGCCAGTCATCATGACCAGCGACTGTTTTAAGCTCTAAAGTTAGCCTTATTTTAGTGTCAAAATATTCACAAAGCACTATATTTTATGCGGGTGTATGTGAGTTGAGTTTGTATGTCGTATGTTGCTGACTAAAATGTTATGAAGCTTTTTACTTCTCATATTTCATCAATTGAGTTAAATGTTGTGTGCTTGTTAATTTATTATTGTTATTATTTTACAGGGATCTTTGTGCAATGATGCTATTATGCTGATGTKTTGTGGTGAATGCGCTGTCTGCCAGATGGCACGTGAGCTGAATGCTATTGGTCGATAAACSTCGACAACCTTCCTCCTTGTCAACTCATCACTTCATCATAACACATTTATTTGGTAGATTATTCGGTAACCTAAGGATATAGACCCTTTTGTATTTCACATTTTATTTTAGATTTTTATCTATAGAATTTTGTCAGCAATTTTTAACCAAATTCCTCAGTGTATACGATACACTTTTTAACTATAGTGTTTTTAAATCAAGGCCATACAGACATTTCCTGTCCCATCACCTTTGGGATTGAAGAATATAGGAAAGTCTGAATGATCATTTCTATAAACCAAAGCCTAACTGGTAGGAGTTACAAAGAGATATCTGTGTTATACAGTCATCACTAGACTGTCAAAAGTCCCCCTTTTTCACTCCTAACTCAGTTGAGTCATTCCTCCCCCCCTCCCTGTTTTGGTTGCACGGGGAGTGGGGATGACTTTAAAGCAGCATGCTGCTTCACTCACCCCTACTTCCTGTGTAACCAAGTTAGGGAAAAAACTGGACTTGACATTTAGTGCCTGTTAACTTGGAGGCAGTGTGATCCTACTTCTAGAGCTACTCTTTTTTTTGGTGTTCCCTTGATGTTGTACACAACCACAAGCTTGTTTGCTGCATTTTTAATAAAAATTTGCTGAATGGCATTTTGTGGTGTCATATTCATTTTCTCATTCTCTTTTTATCATTTCCTCCCATATCTTGGCATTATTTCATTCTCTCTTTCAATTTCTCCCATTTTGTGCCACTCTCTCTCATTTTCTCAGGAAAAAAGCTTTCACCAACAGGAGAGGCCGTCTTCAATGAAAAGTCACCAAATCACCGCATTTTCTCTCATTCACAACTCATTGTAAAGCGCCTTTGAACACATCCATATGGAAAAGAGCGCTATATGAATATTATAATCATCATTATTTTAGTGGTGTGTTGAATACCAAAAGTGAATTAGAAGGAAACTAAAACACCGTGTAAAAACGTTTGTAACAAGAAACACTGCATGTAAAATTGGGCCGATATCTTGATAGAAATGCAAGTCGGTTCACTACTGAAAAACGAATATAGAGCAATACATCTACCGATCAGCCTGAGGTTTGCAAATTCGCAAAGCCTTAATATCGTACTAGAAGTTTTAATATCTCCAACGTGGCCCATTGTACTATTTCTAACACTTTCTTTAGGTCTCCTCGGCAGGTTATATACACAACATAATAATGACTCTTCAATCTCCCTTATAAGTTCTCTTTTTTTTCTCTCTAAGGCCTTTTCCCTCAAAATTCATGACTGGGGTCCCTTAGGCTAACAATGTCGTGCCTCCGCTTTTTCGTCCCTAAAATTTTTTGCATGAAAACTTCGCGTCTACCCCGCTGACCCATATGTTCCAGGAGTTTGATCTGTGGGTTTGCCGTGTCGTGTTCAACCCAGGGGTTACTTCAGGGTATCGATTCAATTTGAGAGTTTATTCATGAACGGGTGACTCATGTCTGGTCCTGCTGGCCACAAACACGTGGCTTACTCTAGTGACAGATGAACACCCAAGTTAATGTTGAAAATTATAAACCAATGACGATAAGTGACTCATTGATGATTTATTGCAAAAATCCACTACATTTGAACTCGTGGTATCGGGTGTAATCTTGCATGATACATTAATTTAAAATATATTATTTATAGCGAATGATGATTCATCACTTAATACACGCAGCTAAATGTGGTGGCTATTTTTCGGGTTATTTCTCTAAGTAGGAAGCGAAGAAACCTAACTTACTTCCATCAAGCATGTTTCTGAGAGTGATAAATAAGAATTTTATGTCGAAGGAATTCAAAATCTTGACACTCCTGAAGACAAATGCTACTGATACCGAAGTGTATAGTTTATAGTATGTGTGGTTTCAATTAATACATTTGTTTGTCACGGCAGATATTACAACCCAAGCTTTTTTTTGGTACCGGGCACTCTTAACTTTCGGTGTGGCACCCACAAATTTTAAGGTTACGTTATAATGTACGGTAATTTATCAAAATTTTCTGTAGCTTTCAATGCGCAGACCACGATACTACTCACCAAAAACAAAAAAACATTTCTTTCTGCGCTTTCCTAAATGAAGAAACACCGATATTTTGGAGAGGATGAAGATGAAAAAAAGTCGCCAACCACAGCGCATGGAATCTTCAACAGATGACTGAACCACCAATATAGTTTGTACATAAAAAAACGTTTCAGCATTTGACAAGCGAAGCGTATCACCACCTGAAGTCTATAAAATGTTGAATTACAAAACCAAAATCAACAAAGACTCGAAGTTTTAGTTTTTTTGGATTATGTTTTTAGTTCCTTTGTAGACTCTTTCTTTTCCCCCCCAAATGGTTGAGTAATGAAGGTACTACCGGTTACTAGCTGGCTTACCCTAGAACTCTATACGTGATGCACCGGTTCAGTCGCGTTCCCAACGGAAAATCCATTGTGGTTGTTCGGTATGATATCATTCGCTCTTTGTTGATAGTCATTAACGATGCGTTTGTTCTGTGTCCTTTTGTTTGGATAATGGATTTTAGTTTACTTACGGTAAGTTTGAATATCTAATGACGCAACGTATATGGTACAAAAATCGAAACAAACTGCTCTAAAAACTAAAATAAAGTAGGAAGAAAAATAATTCAGGCGGAAATCGAATAAAGTTTAATTTCATGCTACTAAGGAGAAGACGTCAAGGGAAAAGAATGATCTAAAAGTGTCAGCTGATGGCATTGTAACGCAAACACCAAGGGAATCGAGAAAGAAACGTCACGGGCAATCGTATTGGCGCAAAAACTATTGTTTTCACTGAATCACTTGGATATTTCTAAATAAGGTAAACGTACCACCCGACAGAGCGAATGAGTGCAAAACCGGTGGCAACGGGGTATAAAAGGAGTGTGACAATTTGGTACCTTCACTTGTAGGCGAACTTAGTCGAGCAAGATACTTCAGGAGACCGTGCGCAAAACCCTAGATTCAACATGGCTGAAGAAGACGTTGCTGCTTTGGTTATCGACAATGGTTCCGGTATGTGCAAAGCTGGCTTTGCTGGAGACGATGCTCCACGAGCCGTTTTCCCCTCCATCGTTGGAAGACCTCGCCATCAAGGCGTCATGGTTGGTATGGGTCAAAAGGACTCGTACGTTGGAGATGAGGCCCAGAGCAAGAGAGGTATTCTCACCCTGAAATACCCCATTGAACATGGAATCGTCACCAACTGGGATGATATGGAAAAGGTAAGATTTCGAAAAAAGTTCGAGTCGATTTGAAAGTAATTCACCCGATTTGAACTCTTCCTAATCATCCTACCCTTTTTTCCTGTAGATTTGGCATCACACTTTCTACAACGAGCTTCGTGTGGCTCCAGAAGAACATCCAGTACTTCTCACAGAGGCTCCCCTCAACCCAAAAGCTAACCGAGAAAAAATGACCCAGGTAAGAAAAATATTCTTAGTTCTACTATACGGTGTTTTGTTCTTTTCTCTTTGCCGTTGCTGTTGTGCAAGACATCTTGCCACACCTTATGGCATAGAGCGTGCCTGCAAAATTTAATGCATCAGCCCAAGTGACTCGATCATTTCCACGCATCGCCGCAAAAAAAGGCTTGAAGTTGCTGCTGTTTCTGAATTGTTCATAGTTCGTTGCTTACGTTTTTTTCAGTGATAAGATTAATTCTGTTTTAAGCAGTCGATTCTACCTATTGCTATTGCTATTTTTCTCAATTTCAAATGTACAAACAACTTTGCACCGGCTGGCATAGTTCAAAACTTACGTTTCCAAATTAAAGAAATTATCCTTAAATTCACATAAAATACCACTAAGTCTAAAATTATTTTTATTGCAAAATAAGTTTTAAATTCATTTGGTAAATTTTCAAGGGTTGAATAGTTTTTCTGGTCCATGTGCTTCCTTTAGCTTGACTTGAAGGTGGTCGTGTGTTGAACAGGGTCAAAAATGACCATATATGGTCATGCTTGTTCAGGATTGGTCAGTTTCGTTTTGTAAGGTGGATTTCCTCTGTGCATTAGTAATGATTTACCATATATATGAATATTCCAACCTCCGAAGATTTAAACAAATAAACTTTCTCAACGTCTAGGCAATTAATATTGGCTTATAACTCGAAAAAAACACATTAGGTAAAACTTTCCTTAGTCTTAAACTCAAAAATTCTTTTTTCAACGGAATAAACTAGGAAAATGGTCCTGAATAAAACTATGAAGTAAATCACAAAGATATAGCTTTTTCCCTCTATTTCTTGGTATATTGAATTAAGTTAATGCGTATATTAATATATATAACTTTGAAATTTAAAAATACAAAAGTACGAGTACAATGATTTAATATTTTTTCATCGAGGGGGCCAAAGCCGAATGCCGCGAGTTGCGAAAGCTAACGTCATTCAAGCTGACATTTTGCTATGGCAACTGCTCTAATTTAGCACGAAATATGAAATTCAAGTTCTAGAAGATCGAGATTAGGGATTTTTAGGATAGATATATGAAAAAGAATAAAGACTAAGTGCGACTGCACGTAGTAGAAATTAAAAAAATACAACATATTTTATTGTGTGGGTGTTTTAGAAAATTCTGTCGGTCGTGACTGAACACTCGAATGAATACAGTATGTCTTTTCAAATTGTGAAGACAGTGTTTAGTTGTCGTGGTAACGTGGTAGCCTCTTGAAAATGCGGGTTAAGAAGGTTTTAAAGCTCTTAAAAAATATATATAAAAATACCCAGTTTTTGGTAGCTAATATTACAACCAACTCCGATGATCTCGGCTCATTTTCGGATTCAAAATTTCCTTCCAAAACAAAACAAAAAAAACATTAACAATGAAACAAAAGACTGACGGATCAAGGGATTTTTCTAGACTTTATACTATACAACTGAATCCCCGAGGAGTCCTGGGAACTTGAAATTGGAAAAAATAGGCGTTTGCGCATGTGCATTACGAAACATTTTTGTGAGATAATGGCTGACATTCGGCGCCCGCGTCTGTTTCGCGCCATTTTTTTTGAATGTGCTCGAGGGATTTATATGGAGATTTTATTTTTTTCAGATCATGTTTGAGACCTTCAACAGCCCTGCTATGTACGTAGCTATCCAGGCTGTCTTGTCCCTGTATGCCTCTGGTCGTACCACTGGTATTGTCATGGACTCTGGAGATGGTGTCACTCACACTGTACCAATCTATGAGGGTTATGCTCTTCCTCACGCTATCCTCCGTCTTGACTTGGCTGGACGCGACTTGACTGACTACTTGATGAAGATCCTGACAGAACGTGGTTACTCTTTCACCACCACAGCTGAACGTGAAATTGTACGTGACATCAAGGAGAAGCTCTGCTATGTTGCTCTTGACTTTGAACAAGAGATGCAGACAGCAGCCTCCAGCTCAAGTCTTGAGAAGAGCTACGAGCTTCCCGACGGACAAGTCATCACCATTGGAAACGAAAGATTCCGATGCCCAGAAGCCATGTTCCAGCCCTCATTTTTGGGAATGGAATCTGCTGGTATCCATGAGACCACATACAACTCCATCATGAAGTGTGATGTCGATATCCGTAAGGATCTGTACGCTAACACCGTCTTGTCTGGTGGCTCCACCATGTACCCAGGAATTGCTGACCGTATGCAGAAAGAAATCTCCGCCCTCGCTCCCCCAACCATGAAGATCAAGATCATCGCTCCACCAGAGAGGAAATACTCTGTCTGGATTGGAGGCTCCATCCTCGCTTCTCTGTCCACCTTCCAACAGATGTGGATCTCCAAGCAGGAATACGATGAATCTGGCCCAGCTATCGTCCACAGGAAATGCTTCTAAATCAACCACTATGAACTATAATTTCTCTTCTATTTATTTTCACTCCGGCGAACTAATGTCTCTGTGATCAAGTAACTTATCTCAAACTTAAACAAAGCTGTTGAAAAAACTAACATTTTCTTCTAGTCTTTTAATACTTAATTATAGTTGTRTGGTAAAATGGAAAAGATAAAAATTAACTGAGAGTGGACTGTGTCGAGACCGGCCGCGTCACCTTGGTATTTGGCGGGAAAAAGAAAAGAAGAAAAGATAATTGCGCTTGCTATAAAAGAACCAAAAACAAAAGATCCTGAAGCTTGAACTCTAATAAGTTGTAGTCATCTAACTTTACAAATAAAATTGTTAAAAACAGTTGTATCAAGTGTTTATTTTTTTATAAACTTGCAATATTTCCCGCTTCAATTTTATCCAGCTTATATGAATCGCATTCTAAAACTATTTCTCCATATTTTGAAAAATATTGTCAAAGAAAATTTTCGGCGTCGTTTCTCATATATTGGCATAAATATTCCTATCTTATGAAATGCATGCATAAAATGTTTTTAAAAAACTGCATTCCTGCTGGAATTTTTGTACGCATGCGCAAAAACTGTAAATCCTCGTTATCAAAATCCCGAAGTGCAAGATCGTTTGATATAGTTTGTCGGGTGTAGTTTAAAAACAATATGGGGCTCTAAAATATATTTGCGCACAAACTGATGACAAGATTTGACATGAATAATTTCAGCGCTAGTTCATTATCGTACCCAGACCTGGTGCTAGTAGCCTGCGTCACATCCGGTCTTTTGTCGGTGAAGTCTAGACTGACTTAACCGAGAAAAAGTCCAGATGTGACGCAGGCAAGGTGCTAGGCTTCGTTACCAAAATTCTGCGCCTGCGCTGTGAATGAAGGCGTTTCTAGAGACGACTGTCTAGCTAGAATGGAATAATTATCTTTTCGATTTCGCTGGATTCTCTACTTTATATACGTTCCTTTTAAGCTAGGCTTCAGTAAGCAAGGGCACAGTGTCTACGCTTGCGTCTGATGAAAACCAAGTGAAAAAAAGAATGGATGGATGGATGGAAGGGAAAGAACCCTAAGGCCCTAGTGAACGTCACGAGCTCTAACACACTGTCGAGTGATTTCAAGCAACTGTCAAACAGGTATAACATTATTTACTTTGGCCGTAATCTTTTCCCATTTCAAACCACGCACTTTAGGATTAATATTGATAATTAGAGTATTATATATTAATGCATTAGAATGCTACGCTCAATTGTCACCGCAAAACAAAGAAATGATACTCTAAGGAGTGATCAACACGTGGTCGCAAGGATACGCAAAGTGAAGAGTCATTAAGTCTTACTTATTTAATTTAAACAGATTTTCTTCTTTAGTTTTTTTTATCACCAAAAGTTCAAGGTTTATAACATTACGTCACGATCCCTCGCAATCGGCCTCATAAGGATACCTTGAGGCAAACATTAGCATATTTTGAACAAAAATCCCACATACTGCATTGCGCATTAACGATAAGCCTCCCTTCCCTTCGTTCCATTTTACTTTTTATTTTTTATTTTATTGCGCGCGTTTCTATTTTCGATTAGTTTCAATTTTTCCAGGAAAAAAATATTATTGCATTAAAAATCTTTTTCAAAAAAGAATAAATAAATAAATAGATAAAATAAAATAAAATCGCTCTCTTGTTTGGCTAATTTAATAATAATACTATTCATCATCATCATCATCATCATTATCCTAAATTTCTTTTTTTAAATAATGTATTCAAAAGTTTATTGAGCGCACCGTTTAAAGAGCGTGACAGCTGTATTTACAAAGCTCAATCTTTCCTGAGGTCGAGTATGAAAGGTGAGCTCGTACTGCGCGCGCGGATACTAAATAACTAGTCATTTGATCCTTATATAATACCCTTCAAAATAATCGCTTTTACCAAGCATATATCATTTTTACTTCCGTTGATTGTCATCTTTTGTGTCTACAGTTTAACCTAAAAGTATTCGTTCTTATATTCTTAAGATTCCGAAATTTTGATTTTAATTTTTAGTTGTGATTAGTAGGACTCTAACGCTGATGTTCATTTTATCTTGGTCGATTCTGAGACTTCGTAAAAGATTTCGAAGATTAACTCACAATTGAATCAAACTCAACCGTGCTTCCCGTCAGGTAAACATTTAATCCTGCCTGCTTATCTTTGAATTTAAATTATCTTTTAGTATAGGTTTGTATTCTTCTCTACTTTTGTTCTGCTGTACATGGCTTGTTAAAGCTTTTCCCCCTTGAATTATAAGCTGAAATTGTTTTCCTGCGTACCAAGACATCACTTATGTAGCTAAATTTATGAACACGTTTAGTTTTAAGTCCGACTTTTAATTATTTTGGTTTACGTTTTATTCAGCCATCAGATTTGAGAGACATCTAAAAGATCCCTAAGTTCTTTCTTCCTGAAGGCCAATACTTGCAGTAGTCGTATCGTTGCTATGAGAAAATGTTTTAAGAACTAAATATTTTATCCATTTGATCAAAGTGTCAAGAAACAAAACCAATTAGAAGTCTCAATGTTGGTGTTTTTAATGGCGTGTCTATAATATTTCATTTTTTTCAAATTATCAATCGTTTATATTAGTTTTAACTTCTCGAAAGATTAGGAGGGCATTTTCATAAGAGAAGATTCAAGGAAGTTAATTTAATTTATTTATACGAATTTTATCTCATATTTAAAAAAGGGTTGGTAGCGAACTATGAGTGAATGGAAAGCCATAACGATGCCTGATGAATCAGGGACTATTGTCAAGTCCTGTCCTTGGCCATGGAGGATAGCAAATGCTGTGATGGCCGTGTTCATGGCAATAGCTGCCTATGTACAGGTATAAAGTTATATAGATAAATCATCATCACCATCATTATCATCAACACCAACATTATCATGACCATTGACATCGTCATCATCACTATCATCATCAACATCATTTACTTCATCAACATCACCATCATTTACATCATTATGTGATCACCATCATTCGCACCATCAACATCACCCTCAACATCATCATTTACACCATTATCATCATCATCATCATATTCATCATCACCATCGTCAATGACATTATCATTACTTATCAAAACCATTATTTAAGTCATCATCATCATGTCATCATCATCATCACCATCTCTCATCACCAACATAATCATTTACACCATCATCATCATTTACTCATCATCATCATCACAATCATCGTCATCACTACCATCACTATCATCATCATCACGACTTCATGACTATCATCATCATCATCACCATCATCACCAACATAATCATTTACACCATCACCTTTATCATTTACACCATCATCATCACAATCATCATTATCACCACCACTTTCATCACCATCATCATCATCACCATCATCATAATCAGCATCATCATCACCATCATCATCATCACCATCATCCTTTACGACATCATTTACACTATTCTTTTTTTTCCACAGATCAATGATCCTGACCCAGCCATTTGGATAGTAAGAAGATTTTCGATGTTTTAATTTTGAATTGCTAATCAGAAAATAAGGAATTAAAAGCATGCATTTATTTGTATCATTAATAATATTTATCATTTTTCAGACTGTTTATAGCATCCCATGCTTGTTGTGTTTATCAATAGTCATTTATTTTCCAATTCAAGGTATGTATTGCTAATAAAAGAATCTTGAATTTCATTAAATCCTAATAAAAAGATTACTTCAGGGCTGATCGAAGTCAGGGCACAGCTTCAGTCTGACAGACCAAAGCCTGAAACAACCTCTGGGCTGATCAAAGTCAGAGCATGCCAAACTTATATATGGATGATTATGGCTGACTATTGAAAGTTTTTCTTCAGATTATTTTTTATGGAAGGCAATAACAATGAGCCACCTTGCAGCCTGTGTTATTGGTGTTCTCTATCTTTCTACAATTGTATCGAAACAGATCTGGGAGGGTTCAACAAATCCGCTCAGTCATGAGGAGGGCAGGTAACTGATAAACAACTTCATATATATCCAGTCATGGATCTAGAATCATTTCAGGTGGAGAGCTGTTAGCTTTTAGCTTTTAGATTTTTAAAGCTCTGAAGGGATAATGGCTAGCCACCCTGCTTTAAAATCACTAACATCAGAGAAAGCCTTTTAACCAGTGTCTCCATAGCAGAGGCAGATCCAGCGGAGGGGTACAGGGGGTGCGCACCCCTCCCTGGTTTGACTTTGTGCCCCTACCTCAAAGATAACCAATACCGCTATTCCCTTTGATTCTAAGGGGTGCACCCCTCCCTGGGTTAACTTTATGCATAGCACCCCTCCCTGAACAAAATCTTGGATCCGCCTCTGCATAGATATAATGATGTGTCAGATCAAGACATTCTCTAAATCAACTTTTGTTTCGATCAGCATATAGCAATAGAAACATGTCAGTAGCAACGTACCTTGAGGATCGTCCATGTTTTCTGCCTTGTTGATGTCTATTGTCTATGAGTCCTCTTGCTTCTTCAATTTGTTTACTTTGATACTGATTGGTGTCATTAATGTTATGGTTTGTTTCCATGCACCAGGGAGTTGTGTGGCCTTTTATTGGTTATCATGTGGCTTACAGTCTGTAAACTAGCTAATATGAAAAGGTACAATAATCAATAACTTATATAACTGAATTACAATGATAGTAATGTGTTGATATATGATCATTGAGACACTGATGATGATAATGATTGATGATGCAATTGAGGTTGATTGATTATGATGATGATAATGATGATATTGATGATGCTGAGGATGATCAATGATGATGATGGTGATATTGACAAAGATAGTGATGATGATATTGACAATGATGATGATGGTATTGATGATGATGTTGATAATAATGCTATTGATAATGATGATAATGATAATGATGATATTGAAAATGATGGTGATGAATGATGACGATGAAGACAAAGATGATGATACTCATGTTTACACTATTCAATAGCAAGAATAGCCTTAATGATTGCTGATAATGATTAAGATAAAATAATTGTTAATGATTATAATGATATCAAATACTTTTTATTCATTTATAGGCTTGCAAATATGAGCATTTATATCTGGGCTTTACTGATAGCTTTATCATTGCTACCTTTCCTGCTATGGGGGGTTCACCTCAAGACATGGGACACACAATCTCTCCCCGAACACTGCAAGAATCTAATTGTGGCATAGAAATGGAATATAAACTAGAAAATATGGATCCATACTTCGGCAACTGAAGGGATATTCATTTATTTAAAAAAATGTAGACCAGATCATTTGGTCATGTTGACCACTCAACAAAGTGCCGATGAATGATGTCATATGCAACCATAGCCTGAGTAGCAGCCCAAATTGGGGGGAAGGGGTGGGGGCTGTGGAGGAGGGGACAAGGAGAAATGGACCCCCACCCCTTCCCCCCACAATTTGGGCTGCTATGCAGGGTAATGCAACCATGGCCAAGAATGAATTTAAGAAAAATGCAAATTATAAAATAAATTAACCAACAGAGTTTTTTAAAATTGGACATATTGAAAATGGAATTAACCTTCCTCCATAGCTGTATAAAGAAAAATATTAAAGAAAACAAATAAACTGTAAAAATACATGAGTTTGTCGTCCAATTGTGTGAGTATTGTCAGTATTTCGAAAAAGATATACTTTACATAACTTACCTTGCATGCATTTGAATATCTTGGGTGTAATATTTTTTCATTTCAGACCATTGTGTCATTCTCTTGAGAATAAGATTCTATGTATGAGTTGTATCCATATTCATGTCTTCTCATGTGCAGCCGTTAAACAAATAAATACTACTCTAGGGAATTGCACGTGGTCTAAAAATCATTAAATCCGAGCTAAGAGGATCTGTCTGATCATTCCTCTGGGCTCCCTGTGGTTCATACCAGCGGTGAATCCTAGACATGCGCATTAGCGTTCTGCAGGAAGGACTTGCAAACAAAGTTTGTCTCATTCATGAAATTTTAGGGCTTTTTTTCACTGAAAAAACAACAATAATGCAGCGTTTTTTCTCCAGACAGGTAAATACGTATCTTAAATTTGTCTCAAATGTATGAAATGTTAATTTTGAGGCTATTTAAGTTCAAGCGGAGCCGTTGAAGGTGACGAGTGGAGTAGTCGGCCACAACAACGTTCGTGTTAAATATTTTTACTATCAATATAAATTTTGATTTAATAATTTCAAAATAAAAGCGCTAATTCTATCGTACTTTAATTAATATATACCAATAACTGCTCACATAGAAGAGTTATTCCTTTGTTTGCTAAGATATACTGTATTTGTTTTAAAAACCGGCCCAACACAAGCACAGACCTATCTTTGTTACACGTGAATCGGTATTTTTCTTGGTTTATAAATTGTACGATTATCAATTTTTAATCGAAAAATCACTGAATCTGAATATGCAATGAGATATTAATATAGGAAAAGACGATTTACAGAGTGGTGTAATAGTCAACCGTGGTACTATCATAATAACATTTTCAGATATGTTATTTTAGTGTGTATAAGGGGCCCTCTCTATGGGGAAGAGGATTAAGATTCTGGGTCAACAGACCTGTGTTTGATTCTTGGCTACAGCCATTGCATTGAGCCTTTGGGGAAGAAGCTTTATAGCAAATTTTGTACAACTGCGGAAAACAGATGATATGCTCAATGAGCACTGTCTCTGTCAAGATATGTTGCTGTATGCCATGCCATTTTACAGTCATGCACAATATGTTCTACTAACGTGTTGCATGCATTAAACATGCATCAAGAGTTCTGTGCTATTGTTCTAAGCGCATGCTCAAGAGCTTAAAAAGTGGAATTGTGGGTTGTAAAAATTGCTATATTTTGGTATATTTGATGTGGAATTAGGTTTATGCCATTTTCTCTTGAATAATTAATGAAATTTCTGCTTGATACAAAAAATACAATTTTTGTCCATTCTTATTAATTTTGTACTGACTTCAATACCTTTCATGTTTATTTTTTATCTTATGAACCCTTCTTAAGGCTGTCGTTCTCTCGTCTTACAGGTGCTAACATCATTGAGAACAGTGCACTCAGTGCGATACTTCTCAGCATCATCAGCATTATGGCAAAAGGTAATCCTGAACTGATTTGAAAAATAACAAAATACTGCTAGAGCTGTGCTCCAGCGTCATGCATATATAGACTGTATCATGACTGTCAGAGGCACCTTCACATGCTTTCAGTTCAACCGCGTTGAGATGCTTCGATGCACCATTGCTGTACTTGTGGTGGTGCATTTGAGATGATAAGTTTTTTTTTGCCAGTCTTGCCCAAAAGTAACAGTAAAGTCTCTTACAGGGTTAATTATTTCACTCTCTCCAATTGGCTTAGCTGGTTGAGCACTTGTCCTTAGGAATCCCCAATTAGATAACTGGGGGGGGGGGGGGGGGGGGGGGGTTCAGGAATTTATGTTGCACGATAGATATATATTTTGTAACAATCCCTGCACATAATTTTTTATATGTTTGCTCTATATTGAGATTCACGCAACCCCTTCTCCCCCTCCCCCCTCCTTCCCCTCAATCACCTATTGGTTCATCCCTTAATGCCGTAGGACATAGGTTCAATCCCATTGCTAAAATAAATGGCTGGTCACATATAATGTCAGCATTCACAGTTGTCTGGCCAAATACCTCATAGACCAGTCTCGCTTGACTGCCATCATGTCCAGCTATTGATCAGCCACTATTTTTAGCCCTGTAATCAACTACCTCACATTGACATACTTGGTACAACATGCTTTAACATTGAATTGGCTCTCCAGTGTATTTTGGTAATTCATCCAAACACCGGGCTTTGGTAGGACTATGGTAAGATATGGACTGGCTAGAGTACAGCTATGAATATGCCATATCATTTCCTTTTCATACCAAAACTGCTTGCTTGGTGTTTATAACTTTATCACATTGATAAAATGGATGGATAAAATTTTGTTGATATTTTTTCTTCTATGGTATATCTATAGGTATCCATGAGCAAGTTTGAATCTAATTGTTATATCCCATATGAAAGGCTAGATGAGAACTTGAAAGTTGTTAAAGAGAGGTAAAATTTCTTTCTTTGGTTTAAGAAGCACTTATCAGCTATCGATTAGTTTATATTTTCCTATCTTTTCTTATATTTTTATTGGTCATTTCTTATAAATCAGATTAAACAAGCCATTAACCCTGGCAGAAAAGATTGTCTATTCCCATCTCGATAACCCAAAAGAACAGGTAAAGTCTTTTAGTTTTTATCTTTTTCATTTTAGATTTATTAACTGTTGTTATTTGTGTTTTATTCTAATCTATTCACTCATAAATAATCAATTATTGAATGAGATTGAGTGGAATATCATCTATCCTTAAGACTGATGTATACTTATTTTGTTTCAGGATATTGTACATGGAGAATCTTATCTTAAACTCAGACCTGACAGAGTTGCTATGCAGGATGCCACAGCTCAGGTACAAAGTAGGCTGCTCATAGGCTAAGCACCTTAGATTTAAGACATAGAAAGTTGGATTTTTTTTTGAAATTATGTACGGTAAGTCCTCTGAGAACAAAGCAAAAGGATTTTTTACCAGCATAAATTCTAATCTATTGGTTGTTTTGTATTTCACAGATGGCTATGCTGCAGTTTATATCCAGTGGCTTACCAAAGGTACACTAAATTCCAAATGCAAAAATAGTATGATTAAATTCTTGGTCTGAAGTTTGATTCCTGGACTTGTGGACATCACATGTGAATTTCAAATATTTGTTTGGTTCTCCTCACTCTGCAAAACCAAACATGCTAAATTGAAATTTGTTCTGTGAGTTAGCCATGCCCTGACTTTGATCAGCCCAGAGGTTGTTTCAGGGTTTGATCTGTGAGTTAGCCATGCCCTGACTTAGATCAGCCCAGAGGTTGTTTCAGGGTAGGATCTGTGAGTTAGCCATGCCATGACTTAGGTCAGCCCAGATGTTGTTTCAGGGTTAAATAAAAAGTAAGGGTTTTTATTAAGTTTTTTTTTTGATGTTTTAGGTTGCAGTTCCCTCTACAATCCACTGTGACCATTTCATAGAAGCTAAGGTTGGAGGTGCTGAAGATCTCAAGGTGGCTAAAGATATAAACCAAGAGGTCTATGACTTCCTGGCTAGTGCTTCTGCCAAGTATGGTGTTGGGTTCTGGAAGCCAGGAAGTGGTATCATCCATCAGATTGTTCTGGAAAACTATGCTTTTCCTGGTGTGATGCTTATTGGTACAGACAGTCACACACCCAATGGAGGTATGTATTCATGAGAAGACATGCCACATGGAGGGGAAATGGAATTTCCACGGTGTAGGGGAGGGTATATTGTGTAGTTCCTGAAAATATCCATACCTCCCCCCATGAATGGGAATTGAAATTTCCCAGGGGTGGGGAAGGTCTGAGGAGGGTATATTGTGTAGTTCCATGAAAATATCCATACCACCCCTATGAAGGGGAATTGGAATTTCTAAGGGGTGGGGAGGGTCTGAGGAGGGTATATTGTGTAATTCCATGAAAATACCCATCCCTCCTATGGAGGGGGAATTTCCAAAGGGTGGGGATGGTCTAAAGGCCGGTTTAGACGATACGATTTCGCCTACAACTATCGTATACAACACGCTCGCGCCATCCTACAACTCGAGTCGTAGCGTGTAAATCAAGCCTACAACTCACCTACGACAGACGTGAGCGTGTTGTATACGATAGTTGTAGGCAAAAATCGTACCGTCTAAACCGGCCTTAAGAAGGGTATATCTTTCAGTTGTAAGAAAGATTTTAGATGTTTGATAGACAGATGCATTTGATTTCAGGTGGTCTTGGAGGAGTATGTGTTGGTGTGGGTGGTGCTGACGCAGTTGATGTTATGGCCAACATGCCGTGGGAGCTGAAATGCCCAAAGGTACCAATATTATTGCTACAAGTTGTTCATTCATATTTCAGAAGTCTTATAAAAAAACTTTGTTGACACAAGAAAATGAATAAATGACACTTTAATGTTTGTGATATCAGGATAAATACACCACTGTGAGTACTTGGTGGGATTTATGTGACGAGTGAATTTTAGAAATATGTATCAATGCATGAAATGTGATGCTGATCCCACTTTGCCACTCTGTCAGTAGTTTTAGAATCCCATGCAAAGAAGAGAGTAAATCTGCCTATCCCCTAAAAACTTCCTATCCTACTCCACTGTGGTAGCAGGGACTAGACAGTATTAAGATTTATTTACTCATTTACTTGTCCAGGTTATAGGTGTCAAGCTCACAGGAGAACTCAAAGGCTGGACATCTCCGAAGGGTAATATAACTGCATATAAATCTAACATATGTTATGTTAACTATAAATGTAGCCATTACTTTATCTTAAATGATGGCATTTATTCAAAGAAATATATCAAATAACCCATATAAATCCAATAGATAGAATGATGGTATATTTTATGAGCAAATGTCAGCTGCAGAGTGCTATATAGTTTGTCTCTTCCTTCCCATGATAAGAGAATTCTGATCTGTTTGTTATATGTTATGCTTAGATGTGATTCTCAAGGTGGCTGGTATTCTTACCGTCAAGGGTGGAACAGGAGCCATTGTGGAGTACTTTGGACCTGGGGTGGACTCTATATCTTGTACAGGTGAGAAAATAAGGGTTCAAAATGATGATGATTATGATTATGATGATGATGATGATGATGATTGGGCAAGAGGATATCATGTGAACAAAAACAAGTTTCAATGTTTCCCTGACAATGGCTCTCAGTGGGCAACGAAAGTCTGAGGGAGTTCCTTGTGAAAGTAGGAAATGATGACCATGATTACTTTATGATTGAATAAATAATGATTCTGTCTGCTTCTCCAGGTATGGGGACCATTTGCAACATGGGTGCCGAGATCGGAGCAACTACCTCAGTCTTTCCATACAACCATCGCATGGAGACATACCTCAAAGCCACAGGCAGAGATCAAGTAGCTAGTCTTGCCAACCAGTATAAACACCTCTTAAAGGCTGACGAGGGTGCAGATTATGACCAGGTTATTGAGATCAATCTCAGTGAACTGGAACCCCACGTTAATGGCCCATTTACACCTGATCTTGCCCATCCTATTTCAAAATTGGGAGCTGTTGCAAAGGAAAAGGGATGGCCAATGGACATCCAAGTTGGTAAGACAAAAAATTCTTCATTTTAATATCTTTAAAAAATTTATAAATTTTTCCTCTACTTCTTGAAACTGTTGCGGCAACAGACTTGTAAAGGTTTAGATATGCTGTACAAGGCAGATTTTTTATGCAACTTATTTTGCAGTGAAATTGCAATATGTTACTAGAAACAATGCTGCTAAAAGTAAAAAAATGAGAAACCTACATTGGAAGAATGTTGGTGGGGTGTCAGTAGGATGCTAGTAGGTTGTTGGTAGGATGTTAGTAGGGTGTCAGTAGGGTGTTGGTAAGGTGTTAGTTAGATGCTGGTAGGGTGTCAATAGTGGGTTGGTAGGGTGTCTGTAGGATGTTGGTAGGGTGTCAGTAGGGTGTTGGTAGGGTGTCAGTAGGGTGTNCAGTAGGGTGTTGGTAGGGTGTCAGTAGGATGTTGGTAGGGTGTCAGTAGGGTGTTGGTAGGGTGTCAGTAGGGTGTTGGTAGGGTGTCAGTAGGGTGTTGGTAGGGTGTTGATAGGTGGTCAGTAGGTTGTTGGTAAGGTGTCAGTAGGGTGATGGTAGGGTGTCAGTAGAATGTTTTAGGGTGTCAGCAGAGAGATGGTAGGATGTTGGTAAGGTGTCAGTAGGGTTATGTTAGGGTGTCAGTAGGTGTTGTTATTTCATGAGTAGGGGCGCGGTAGGTTGTCAGTAGTGTCAGTAATGTGTCATGTATTACTGATTCTGGAGTTGCATTCATTACTATTACCAACATTGCCTAGTATAAGAACAAAATTATATATCTTGTTAATTTTGCTTTTATTATACAGGACTCATTGGTAGTTGTACTAACAGCAGCTATGAAGACATGACAAGAGCAGCAAGCATTGCAAAAAAGGCAATGGAAAATGGACTAAAGGCTAAGTATGTTATTTGAGTAATGAGAAATAAACTGTAGTCCTTTACCAATGGGCCATAGCTGTATCTAGGCTTTGAGTTTGGCCTGTCATCTCTCTTCTCCCAAAAACAACTTTCGTGTACAGCATTCTTATGCCATTGCACAGCACAACCATGCCATGATGGAAATTTGTTCTGTTAAATCATCTTCTGCTTGATTTATTGGCCATAGTATTTTCCTTGATAATTCATATTCATTATTTACTATACTTTTATTAATCTTAATAATTATTTATTGATTATATAATTGTTGATTGTTTTTTTCAGATCACTTTTTACTGTAACACCAGGATCAGAGCAGATAAGAGCAACCATTGAACGAGATAGCATCGTAAGTATAAAGACTAAAAGCATTGCAGTGTAATGTTTTATTAAAGTTGAATAATCGAGGATCGTATTTTTCGTAGGCAAATACTCTGCAAGAGTTTGGTGGTACAGTTCTCGCTAGTGCATGTGGTCCTTGTATTGGACTATGGAACAGGTATGTGATTGATGTTTGCTAATTATTAATTATCACTCAGATCCACTGCAGCTAACAAACAGCATTGTGTTATGTGCTATTGTCATTGTAGTCATTATCTTCATGACCATGATCATCACCATCATGCATCATCATCATCAACATCAACATCATCGCCATCATCATCTTCATTATCATCATCATCTTCTTCATGATCATGACCATCGCCTTCATCATGCATCATCATTAACATCAATACCATCATGCATCACCATCATAATCATGTATCATCATTATCACCACCATCATCTTCATTATCATCATCTTCATGATCATGATCATCGCCTTCATCATGCATCATTAACATCAACATCATCATGCATCACCATCATAATCATGTATCATCATTATCACCACCATCATCTTCATTATCACCATCTTCATGATCATGACCATCATCATTTATGACATCACTATCATCATTTACAGACACAGAGTTCGCATGTTTATGAAAATTGCAGTAATGAATCAATACTCTATTTTCAGGCAGGACATTAAAAAGGGAGAAAAAAACACTATTGTCACATCTTACAACAGAAATTTCACAGGCCGTAATGATGCTAACCCTGAGACCCATGCTTTTATTGCATCACCTGAGGTTTGTAATAATCACCTGGACATTAAGATACTGATTGATCATGCTGTCATTAATCCTTAATTATCAATTACTTCCAGATTGTAACAGCTCTTTCCATTGCTGGCTCTCTTGATTTTAATCCAGAGACAGATACCCTGACTGGAAAAGATGGTTAGTTAATCAAAAATAAATAGTTAATAAAAATAGTAATAGTACATGGAAATGACTCGTGGTGGGATGTGCACTGCAGTACTGCGCTGTATGTGCAGTTCTTTGTTGTGCCGTGTGGTGTGCTGTGCCATGTGCTGTGCCATACTGTGTGCTGTGTGCTGTGCCATGTACTGTGTGCTGTGCCATGTGCTGTGCCATACTGTGTACTGTGTACTGTGCCATGTGCTGTGCCATACTGTGTACTGTGTGCTGTGCCATGTGCTGTGCCATACTGTGTACTGTGTGCTGTGCCATGTGCTGTGCCATACTGTGTACTGTGTGCTGTGCCATACTGTGTGCTGTGCTGTGCTGTGCCATGTGCTGTGCCATACTGTGCGCCATGTGCTGTGCCATACTGTGTACTGTGTGCTGTGCCATACTGTGTACTGTGTGCTGTGCCATACTGTGTACTGTGTACTGTGTGCTGTGCTGTGCCATGTGCTGTGTGCTGTGTGCTGTGCCATGTGCTGTGCCATACTGTGTGCTGTGCTGTGCCAGGTATCTAGTGTAATCTAGTGTTACAACCATCTTGTCCATTTTGTGATTATAATCCTGGGCCCAGTTTTTCAAAGCCCCATTAGTGCTAATCCTGGGTTAACTCTTAATAAGACCTATAGAGTTAATCCTGGATTAGTGTTAATCCAGCTTTGAACAACCCGGCCCTGTAAATTGCTTATTATTCTCCACACTCCTACTGTATATATTACTCAATCCAGTTTGTATCATATTGCAGGTAAGCAGTTCAAGCTGGACAGTCCATTTGGTGACGAGCTCCCTACTAAGGTACAGTAGAGACCAGATATACATTACATGTGGAATGGGGTCAGGGAGGGGTAGGGTGGGGTGAAGGTGGCGTAGGGGTGGGGTAAGGGAGGGGGAGGGCAACCTTGGTCTTTAATCATCGGTTGAACCTAACCTCGTTTTTATTTTTTGTAGGGATTCGACCCTGGTGAGGACACATATCAGGTAAAGTAATAATCCTCAATAGTATTGTTCTGACTATAATAAGAATAATAACTTTATTTAAATTAAAAATAGCAACACCATAAGATGTTTGTACCCAGGCTAGTCCACAATGCACCATGTTTGCTATCTTAGAAAAGGTACTTTAAAAAATTACCCCAAAGACATGAAGTGGTAGTTAAACTGTTTTTTTTGATATTGCACTATAGGGACCTCCAGAAGATGGTTCATCACTGCAAGTCAATGTCAGCCCAAGCAGGTACAGTATTGTTAGTACTATCCATGAGTTTCTGGTTTCTCCATATCTCTTCCCTTGGCAAAGCCAAACTTGTTTTGAATTTCATTTAAAAATCAACCACACCCTAAATCCATTGTTTGATGTAGGTGCTTGGTCTTGAATTCTAATGCAAAACCTCACCCTTGCATTTGAACATTTATCTATAAGTTAGCTGTGGCTTGACTCGGATCAGCCCTAAAGCTGTTGCAAGGTTATAACACTTTTCCTTTATTTATTCTTTAACCAGTAATCGACTTCAGCTGTTGACTGCCTTTGACACTTGGGATGGTAATGATCTTGAAGACATGACCATTCTCATAAAGGTAAGCATGTTACTTTCACATCCCTGTATACTCGGTCGGGCACATTTTGTGTTGTGTGGGAGGCTGTGGATTCAAACCCTAGCTGGACCAACACTCAGGGTCTTAAATTATCTGAGTATAAGTAATGCCATTGCTTGGAGATTATCTACTAATGTTTAGACCTTCGCTGTGGCATGAATAACCATATAAAACTGCAGCCCAATCTCATTCAGAGACCTTAAATAGAGGACCACAGGTTTATATGTTGGAAATGGCCATTGTCATTTTAGTTGATTTTACATGCATAGTTACAATATGACACACACTGTTATAGATCTATGTATCAATAAAATGTTGTCAGTAATGTTAGATCTTGTTTTTCCTGACAGATCAAAGGAAAGTGTACCACTGACCACATCAGGTAAGAATATGTTTTATTAGACTTTTTGCTTAAATGTAATAATCACATATTTATATGGCCATGGCTGGCTTGCGTTTCTATGGTGCTGTCTCACTTCAATGTACAGTGAAATTCAAGCATAAGGTCACCGGTTTTCCTCTCTGCGTAAAAATGTGAGTTGAGTTTGTTTGCTGTGTTGTTTCTTCACATGCCACAAGGGTTTTTCTCTAGGGTTTCTGGTTTTCTTTCCTATGACATGTAAAAATCAACGTGTGAGTTGGGCATTGTAAAGTAAATGTAGTGGTAGTGCATGTGGAGCAAGCCTTATGGAAGAGTCTTTTACCTGAGAAATGTTTGTAAAATACAAGTTTTTTTGGTGCACTGTACTAGTGATTGTTGTATATGTTGTGATTGATTAATGATGTGATGATCATCTTCTAGTGCTGCTGGTCCATGGTTAAAGTACCGAGGACATCTAGACAACATATCTAACAACATGTTCATTGGGTAAGCATTGAATTTGAACGAGAATAGTTATCACAAGGTGTTCTTACCGTAAAAGGTGTGGGAGGTAGTGACTACATATTGTAAAGAGGCTTTGCACCATCACGTGATGGCAGCCATGACAGGAAGCAGGAACATCAATTGACTCTGGTCTAACTTGATTATATAAGAAAGACTTATCAGTTTCCCAGGGGAAAAAGACTCAATTGTTGTGCCTCTTGTCATGGCTGCCATCATGTGATGGTGCAAATCCTCTATGATATATGTTGCTTTTGGAGGCCATTTACACGAGAAGGTAGAAGCCTTGTGCTAGGGATGTCTTTTGCTTTCCTTTGGTTCCCAAAGGACATAAAAACAAAAGAATCATCCTGACATCTTAGGCATATGCATGAGTTAGAGATCAATGACATCTGGTTCTAATTATTTAGTTAACCTAAGAGTTGTTGTCTTGTCATATTAGGGCCATTAATATTGAAAATGACAAAGCCAATCAAATCAAGAACCAGTTGACTGGTGAATATGGCACTGTACCTGATACAGCAAGACACTATAAGGTAGAATGGGATAAGTGATGTTATGCAACCCCTGTAGTGTAGTGAAAACATAAGGTAGATGATGGCCAAATGATTCTTTGTATACTGTCATTGTCGTCATTATCATCATCATGATCCACATTATCATCATCACCATCATTATCAACATTATCATCATCATCATCATCATTATCATCACCATCATTATCATCATTATCAACTTTATCATCATCATCATCATCATCATCACCGTCATTATCAACTTTATCATTATCAAAATCATCATCATCACCATCATTAACAACTTTATCATCATTATCAAAATCATCATCATTATCAACATTATCATCATCATCATTATCATCACCATCATTAWCAACTTTATCATCATTATCAAAATCATCATCATCATTATCATCACCATCATTAACAACATTATCATCATCATCAACATACTGTCATTACCAACATAATCGTCACCATCATTATCAACAACATCATCATTATCAACATTATCATCATCATCAATATCTATCACAACCATCACCACAATCATCATGATCACTGCCACTACTACCACCATCTCCAGCATTATCAGCATCATCATCATTGCCATCATCATCTCTCAACATCACTTTCACTACTACATCAACATCATCATCTTCACCATCTCCTGCATTATCATCATCATCATCATTGCTATCATCATCACTCAACATCACTACACTACTACTATCAACATCATTGTCTTCACCTTCTCCTGCATTATTATCATCATCATCATCTCTCAAAATAACTACCATTATTATCATCTTCACTATCATCATCATCATCATTATTCAACATTACTGTCACCACCATATCATCACCTTTAACCATCAGTCTATCCCCACCACCATCATCATCATCATCAGCATCATCATCTAGCTCTACTATCTTATTCAATACCATTATCATTGTCCAGGCAAGTGGCGTGAAGTGGTGTGCCATTGGTGATGAGAACTACGGAGAGGGAAGCAGCAGAGAACATGCTGCATTGGAACCAAGACATCTTGGTGGAAGAGCAATCATCGTGAAGAGCTTCGCTCGTATCCATGGTAGGTATTGTGTATTTGGATACCTGTGGCAGCAAACTATCATAGACCTATTTTCTGGGTTGGACATGTGTAATAATCCAAAATGAAGCCAGGTTCCGGAGGCTCTCTTGATAATAAAACATACGACTAAGGAGTACTGGTGTGAGAGAGCCAGGGTAGGACAAGAGATTCAAGATGAACATCCAGCAAATTTTTTTGGAAATGTTACTTTTTTTTGTTCCGTCAAGGAATCTGGCAAAACAGGGAGCTAAAACTCAAACGTTATATGTTAAATGTACTCACACATATGATTTCGTATAATTTTTTTTTTTTTCAGAAACTAATTTGAAAAAGCAAGGTAAGTTCATCAGTAAACGTTCTTATTTTTTATTTATTTGTTTTCAAACCTTTTTCTTTGGGTTTTCTTTCCTGATGATTTTCCCCCCAGTCACATTCAATTTCTTTTACTTTTACCACGGTAATTAGCTAACATTGTTGCCAATTCCCTGCCATACTTAGCTTGTACTTGGAACTTATTTAGAGGGTCCTGATGGGGTATAATGTGAGCTAGGATTCGCATTTTTTGGGCTGGGAAAATGGGATTTTATACACTGGGAATGAGATTCACAAACGAAAAAAAAAGCAATCAAAAAGTGGGAGTTTGAGCAAAACATAGGCTGGAACTATGGGATTTGGTCAAAATGCGGGCTGGGAAATAGGATTAGGACACTCCCCCCCCTCCCTTTAGAGCCCTATTCTCAATATGGCAATAGGGGATACTAATAAATAAAATAAACCTCTAGGATTAGAATCCCCCCCTTCCCTTCAGGACCCTATTTTCAATATGGTGATATGGGATGCTAATAAATAAAATAAACCTCTGATTACCAACCACTTGACAATTCCGAAAAGGTGTTGCTGATTCATTTTGTATGCTCACTCTCCAAGGTATGTTGCCTTTGATGTTCTCTGATCCATCTGACTACGACAAGATCCAACCTGATGACAAGATTTCTCTAGTAGGATTAAAAAACCTGGCGCCTGGAAAGGTAAATATACTTGTTTGTTTACTCATTCCCTCCTTTGTTTGCAAAGTCATCAGCTTTTAAATTAGTTTCTTAAGTCAAAAATTCTTTATCTTTGCTTTACTCTCTCTCAGAAAGCTGACCTGACCTTTCTGTCTTCCTGCCTAATTTCTTGCCATCTTGCTTTCTTTTTCTTCAGTTTCTTCATCCATCCATCCATCCCTCCCTCCCTCCCTCCCTCCCCTCCCCTCCCTCTGGGATGGAGTGTAACTCTAATATCTATGCATTTTTTCTTCCTTTCTTAGTTCTTGCCTCTTTCCTTACGCTTGTCCTTTTCAGCCTCTCTGGTCCTTTCTCCCTTCTTCCTTTACTGCTCCTCTCCTTTCCTTCATCCCTTCCTTCCACTTTTCTCTTCTCCCTTTCATACTTCCATTATCCATGACTCATGTTCTTCTCGCTTCTTTCCTTTCTTCTTTCCTTTCCTATTCATTCTTTCATTCGATATCCTTCATTAATTTTGTATGTGTGTGTTTTTTTATAGCCAGTGGAGTGTCACATTAAGCACAAGAATGGTTCAGTGACCAAGATCTCTCTCAACCACACCATGAACGAACCACAGATTGGGTGGTTCAAAGCTGGCAGTGCTCTCAACAAAATGGCGGGAAAATAAGACATATGTTACATGATTTGCGAGACTTACAGGCAGACAGACAGACAGACAAATGGCTGACAGACGTGCACAGGCAAAGAGACAGGCAGACAGACTGTTGACACGAACAAACAAGCAGACGGACAGACAGACAAATGGCTGACAGACGTTCACAGGCACAGAGACAGACAGAAAGACTGCTGACAGACAAACAAACAAGCAGACAGACAGACAGCTGACAGTCAAGGAACAGGACAGACAGGCAAATGACTGACAGACGAATAGACAGCAGAAAAGAAGCTTGAACCTTTTCTTTTGACTAATGAACAGAGCTTCAGACAAGACGATTGAGTATTATACAGACAGACGTCTACCTTTAACCCCCTTTAAACTCGGGTGGTAGTTCTTCCCATTTGCAGGATAAACAGACAGACAGACATACCGAGTCAACAGACAAACAAGTTTTAACAAGTTTTAAAAAGATTTAAAAACAAATTTAACACTATTACCAAATATTTACCCATTTCAATAGATTTCCAAATTGTTTGAAATAATTTCTTGTATTCGTTTGTGATAATTACCGCATGGTCAAGGATGGATTGATTATTGCTATCCCTTTTTTTGAAAAGTTGGGTGTGTTAGGTTTTACGAATCCCAACACAGAAAATTCCAAAAGTCATTTTAAAAATGGTTTATATATCTTACTCGAGTGAATGAATGTATTTAAAATATCACTTTGTTTTTCAGTGATGCTTCAAATTTTGAGAAATATACGAATTTCTTCATAAATATAATACTCGTAGTGTGTGTGTTTGTGTGTGTACAAACTATCTACCTTCGTATGTTCTTGAATATTCCTTGTTTTCGGTCGTTATATTTTGCACAGCCCGCGAAAAAATTTACTTCGAAAATCGTTCGTCAACAAATCGATATCTTATCGTTTCGCTTATTAGCTGATCGATATTTCGTCGTGAGGTGTTCGGCTAGATAAGCGACTAAAGAAAAATTACCAATAAAGCCGTTGTGAGAAAGATTTAGCGACACCTGTTACGATTAAAAATATTCGATTTGCGTCTTTTTTTCCTTTTTTCTTTTATTCATTTTGAGGGGTGGAAAACGATGAGTAATGTTTTTACAAACAAGATTAGCGCGCCTCAAAATCGTCTTGCGTTTAATTCATGCGTAATTTCCCGCGTGTTTTAAGATATTTTTCTTTCCTTTTTTAAACTCAAAATAACGAGTCTTTTTCCCCACTACAATGCGCTTGCAAAATTATATGTCCTTGCGCAAACAGAGACTGATCCAAAGGCATTTTCTAAATTTAATTAGCAAGATGCATTCTGGTCTAGGCTGGGTACAAACAAGATGAAACGCATAACGAGCAATATAGTGGATTCGTATCCAAACTAGACCAGAATGATGTAACATACTCTGTGTCGAAAATAGCTTATGAGAGGCCAAGCACTTGGGAAAGGAAATGCTAAAATCATTCATGGATTCAATTATAATATGCTTTTTTTTAAATGATCAGAAATATACTAGTTCGAATATAAAGATGTCTGTTTTACGATGTACGTGTTTGTCTTGGCTCTCTTCGCTGCACGTATTTCCTTTAAGCAATAAGGATATCGCTTATCGCGTGAAAATGGATAAAAAAGCGTAATCTTACCCTTAGGCAGTTTTACACTTTATAATACACTAAACAAAATTACTCGATTCTGAGCGGACAAAAGGAGTACAATTAAATCCCAAATTGTACTCTGTAAAGTTGCTCAGTTTTGTTGAGTGTATTATAAACAAAAAATCGCACAATGTTCTCGTACAATTCGGAATTTAATTTATGGATACTCGCGATGTTTTGAAAGTTCTCAAATTTTGAAAACTTTCAAAACATCACTCGTACATATAAATTCCGAATTGTACTCGAGATCGTGCGATTTCCTAACCTACTAACTTTGTACTGTCGACATTTCCAATTATTAACACTGTTATGTTATGTTATGGGTGGCGTTCGCGGCTAACGCGTCGTCTTTCATCGCTGTGAGTCCAACGGGTCGGGTCGCTGGTTCGAGCCCTGCGGTCGCCACATGTGAATTGAGTTTGTTAGTTTGATGTGTTGTTCTCTCCTATGCTACGAGGGTTTTCCTCCGGGTTCTCCGGTTTCCTCCCTCCATAAATATCAACATGTGAGTTGAGCGTTGTGTGCATAGAATATTAAATGTAGTGGTAGTGCGCGTGAGCGAAAAGTGTCCCCAATTAGTGCGAAAGCGCTAGAACGACTAGACACTTAAATAAAGTGATTTATTATTTATTTTTTTTTACAAATATCTTAATTTTGCATATCAAGTTCTTCGTATGAAATACTCCGACAAATTACAACATCCCTTGTGTAAGTATAATACCTCCTACTGTCCGGTTAATCTGTTTCCCCAGATGTTTTGCAATATACACCCAATATTCCTCACTATTTTAATATCTTCGCAGCTAAACCCGGCAGATGCTAAGGCCAGATCGAGTGAGCTAGCAGTGTACCCCGCTGCCTTCTATCGCATCCTTTATCACTAGCTCGATTTAGACGGATGAATATAGATGTAAAGAACTTATAAAACCAAGCTGGTTATACAGAAGACTAGGTAAGTTTAAGAGGTAAAGAAAGAGAAACAGAGGAAGGAGGAAAGGAACGTGATTATTTTTTGTGCGTTTTTTAAGTGCGATACCACGTAAATCGATCATTGTATTTTTTGAAAATAAGGTCTACGATTATCCGTTAGGGATGGGCTTCATAACAACCACTGCACGTATTATTTTTGTGTGTTTGCTCGATATTTCTTTACTGAAAGGAGAGCCAGCGCGATATATTTCTGTTTTTACTTAAGTGAAGTGCTTGCTCGAAATGTTTTTGGGGATGTACGCTGCCCCCTCAATTATCTAATGGTCCGTCCCTAGAATCAAGGTTCAGGTTGCAGTGTTGCAGTTATAAGAGCACGAAGGTGTGGACAGGTTTTTTCGGCAGATACTAGCTTAGAAAATAACTGTATTTTGTTGCGCAAATCCTTGTTTTAGTCTAAGCCATGTTTAACCATTATCCATGAAGCTTTTATATTTAATCGAACGCTAAAACAACCCATGAGCTGATCAAAGTCAGTGCACGGGTAACTCGCCGATGGAATATTTGAACTTTTGCGGAGGGAGAACTTAGATTGTTTCAGTGCCATCTCAACTTTCTTCCCGATATAAAACACAGCAAACAGCCATACAAATGCTTATTCATAGAGTTGGACACTTTTAAATTCTTAATGTACAATTGTTTTCTACTTCAGCGACGACTGCGTCGTGCAAAATAGCTCGCAATATCGATTGTCTGCAGTATTGCGGGCAATGTTACACCGTGTGACTGTAGCTTTAGTATTTTTGCGCAACTCCCTTTTTATTTACTTATTTATTTATTTGTTTTGTTTTGTTTTTAGATTTTTTTTTTTTTTTTTTTTTTTTTTTTTTAATTTTTTATTCAGAATTTTTTATTTAGAATTTTTTTTGAGAAACGAAAAAAATTGCGTTAGGTATGTGTAGCAAAAGATCGGTCATTCCTTGGCTGGAACCGATATATCATTCTTCCCGCTTTTGTCATTATTATCATCGGTGCGATTACGTGAGATGCTTGATTTGATTACACATGATGACGCACAGATAAATCCTCGTAAGTGAGACGCGTTTTCTGCTTCGCAATCGTCTGTCAAATTTCACAATGAAAATTGTCTTTGAAATCTCCGGCGTGCAAATTTAGAAACTCATAACCTCGTCTTTTTTATTGGTCCCGAGAGGAAACCATTTAACAGTCTTAGCACACTATAGGCTTTCTACTCCTGAATCCGCCCTGAATTATTAGCCATAATTGTCAATCATTTCTCTAACATTTTAAAATTAAATCTCTACATATTACCGCTAGGAAATTCGATTATATTGAAAAATAACAAGTCTGCAAGTAATTTCAAACCGGATATGATTATCCTTTTCGTATTGTTATAGAAGATTTTTGATTTTGACATTCATTATGGATAGTTTTATGAATGGATCTTGAGACATTGCGCGCAAACAGAGAACGGAAAGGTCTGCGGGATAATTATACTGCAGTAAACAACACGATTTGCTCTAAATACAAAACATATGACAGTTTATGTCATTGGCCCAAGATGAAAGAGCTAATTTTGGCGAAACTGCTTTATTAAAAAAAAGAATAAAGGAGATTGTTTGAAAAAAAATATGGTTTTAAAATGTCATCTTTAAAATTGATGTCAAAAGTAAACTGATTGCGTGCGGCAATTTTAGGGTTTTTAATTTCATTTACTAAGATCCCATGCATGTTGCTAGAACTCGCCCAAATTATTTTTAAAAAATACTTTGAAATTACTACCCAATGCGTTTCTTATGTATAATAAAACTTAGGAATATAATCTTCGCTATTTTGAGAGTTTCTTAATCAATTTTAGAAAGAAGATTAACGCACATTCCTTAAAATTATTTTTTATTTTGGCCAATGTGATCTTTCATCGACGATTATTGTGATTTAATGATTAAAAAAAACAATGAAGTGTTTGAAGACTCAAGCATTTGGGCAGACAGAAATGTATTTGGGCAGACAGAAATGCATTTGGGCAGACAGAAATGCATTTGGGCAGACAGAAATGCATTTGGGCAGACAGAAATGCATTTGGGCAGACAGANAGAAATGCATTTGGGCAGACAGAAATGCATTTGGGCAGACAGAAATGCATTTGGGCAGACAGAAATGCATTTGGGCAGACAGAAATGCATTTGGGTAGACAGAAATGCATTTGGGCAGACAGAAATGCGTTTGGGTAGACAGAAATGCATTTGGGTAGACAGAAATGCATTTGGGTAGACAGAAATGCACTTGGGTAGACAGAAATGCATTTGGGTAGACAAAAATGCATTTGGGCAGACAGAAATGCATGGCGAACTGCCAACAAAAACAACTTTAACTTTGATATTTACTCAATAAATAAATGGTTAGTCGAATTAATACCTCTCTTAAGAAGAAAACCCTTTATTTATCGGCCACTTGAGTGAGTGGTGGTCGCTTAATAGGTTGCTATCAATAGACGTCACTTCCGGTAATAGCTCTTTTTTGATGGCTTGTAGAATCCTGGAGCTTGTTTTGATCTCTTGTTTTCTGGTTTGATGTCGTGAAAATTGTCAAACACAATAGTTTGAGGACTTATCTTGATATGTTTTGACTTAGCATCCGCTAGTTGCCCCCCATGCAGTCAACCGCTTGTTTGCCCCCCAGTCAACTCCAAAAAGTCACGTGATTGATAGTAATCAATAGAGGTCTTATATTGATGAATTCTTTTAAAGTTGATAATGACTTTCTTGCAAGGTAAAAGGAAGGAAAGAATAAACCACAGCAAAGTGAAAGAAAGTAAGGTAGGAAATCAATTATTGATTTTTTTAAAACAACGTTAAGAGTATGCTGAAGGGGTGAAATGGGAACAGGGATTATACTTTTTTGCCTGGCGGGGGAAATTGGGATTTAGGGAAGGAAAAAAAAAAAAAGAAGAAGAAAAAAAGGAAATGGTAAAATTATTTTGAAGAAAACTGTTTGGGATTTGGACGCTGGGAAGTGGAATAAAAACAAATGGGTGGCATATATAATTAATTTGCACCTTCTCTTAAGGACCCTCTGATAACACTTGAGAAATCCTGACGCAATTTTGTTATTCTTACGACAAAAGGAAGTGTCATTTATCATATTTTCTAGTTTCGTATTTGAGAGATCTCAAAACAAATAGTTCTTTATCGAAAAACTCAATATTCAAATATCAAAAATACCACATTGTCAACACGAAACATGTTCTTTCTTTTATCCATCCCACCTTGAAAATAAGGTCCGGCAAAAGTGTTGAAAAGTAATATTCGCTTAGACGTATTTACACAAAATAATCTTATTTTATATTTATTTGCCTGATGTCTCGCTGATCGATTTTTTATTGGTCTATATATGAGTATTTTTAAATTCAAAATCTTTTTGTTTCTTTTAGCTACTGATTATATCAAATTTCTCTTCAAAATCTCACAGTTAATAAATTAATTTATCATATTACGCATCTTAACTGAGAGTTGCTACTTTTGCCCATTCTATTAGAATCTAGTGGGTTTTTTGGTTCAAGTAGTAATAAATCTTTTTTTTCATATATAACGTATGTTTGGAGTGGAACCAGGTTTCAATCACGTAAGACTAGCAGCTTTATCAAGGTAATCAATATATCTCGGCCATCAAGTCATCAATTGATAGTTCAAAAATGTTACATGTATAAGCACATTTTCCTACTAGAGCTCAGGCTGAACTTCAATGGTAAGTACATTGTAACCTTCCTGTTAGCGGCTTCCTATAAGCAAGAGTTTCGATTAAGAGAAGAAAAAAAGAATGTTAGCACATTAATTTTGATTTTTGCCATCAAGAATTAGTAATCCGGCAATTTTTTTTAATCTTTATGTTCAGATTTTTCAAACGATTTTTTTAACGACTCAATTTTACTTGGTTAAATAAAAATATTTTTTATTCCGATATAGCTCTATTCTATTTTCTCTGGTAAGATCTCTAGTTTTTTCTTATGATAATTATTTTTGAAAATTTCTTAGAAAACAGGTATTTAAAAAAATTTTAAATTAAAAGAGTTTTTTTTTTCAATTTCTAATAAATCATTTTGTCAATGAAATTCATTAGGACACATTTTCATTTTTATGTCAAATAATTTTGGATAAAGTTCGCGTAATTCAGGTTTTTTTAGATCCCAAAAGGATTCAATTTTAGAACTGTTGGCTTGAGTGTCAAGCTTCCGTCAGTTTTGCACGCTGTATATCCTAACACATTTCATATAACAATACTTTTCAGTCTTACCAATTTACACCAAGTAAACAGTTTTCACTCATTTTGTATCCTCTTATAAGCAGTTTTTCATTATACGAACTATGGGAAATTTCAGTTTGAAAAGCAAACAAAAGCGGAAAGTATTAATTATAGAAGATGCTTGAGAAAAAGTATGATTTTTTACCAAATATATTGACTTGATTTTCATTTTAGAATTCTAACACTTATAAAGTTAATTCGTTGGAGGTGTAAAAAACTCGTTATTGGTTACGACAATTAGATTAGAAAAGCAAACAAAAAAAAGTATTGTTAGATAATATTCAAGGATGAAGATATCTTTCAGAAAACGCATTGTTTTTGGTGCCATTTTTACATTTATGAAGTTGCTTCTTTGCTTTCGAGAAGAAAAAAAAAATTTTCTCGGAAACCCAGGGTTAAATTCTGTTGCTCCTTTATCGCGAGAACTGAGCGAAAGAACTTTTCGGTCCTGGGTTCTCGAGGATAAACTGGAACGGAATTTTTCAGATGAAATAAATAAGATTGCCCCGCGAGATTTTGATTTTCAAGTCTTTTTATTGATGTATAATTTTAAGGTTTTTTTCTGGTTCTCTTGTAAATAAGAAAAATGAAGAAAAATTCACCAAATTTTTTTTTTCAAAATTTTGACTTTTTCTGCAAAAAAAAAAAAAAAAAAAACACTTCATAATTTTACATTTGGAAACGTATATTTTTGGCGTACTTTAAGTTGTCATGGTGACACTACCATTCAAGTGTTTACGGTTATTCAATGATTAATGATGATGATGATAACTTTATGTAAAACTCTTTCATGCATCTTGTCCATTTTGTTGGAGTCAATCGATCACACTTGAGAAACTTGTTGCCAAACGGATAAAAAGTACATGAAATAGAGGGGACATCACAAATGAGTTGTATAGACACAGCTTTGATGAGAAAGACAACATTTTCCTTAACCTAAAGAGAACATCAGATCTAGTCGCTTATACACCTTGCAGATACTGGAAATATGCTGGCTCAAATTTAAACTAGAGCTGCCAATGACTCCATGCAATTCAATTTTGTTCACTGAAGGAATAAGTTCTTCATTAGGAATTAAGCATTCATTTCGTAGAGGGGGGTTCGAGTATTAAGGGGGAATCAAATATATATTTCCCTGTTTACAGAATCTCTCCGCTCGTTGCAAGGAATCGCCAGCGAGGAAGACTGCTAGCAGGGAAATATTTACAAGCTAAAAAAAGAGGGGTTCATAGATATTTCTTGGGCCGTTTTAAAATTTCAAAACTAACAAACTGAGGACATATGCCAACAGCTGTTCCTCCCCCTCCCCCTCCCCCNCATATTACATGATTATTTTCGAGTATTTTCGATAAAGTCGATTATTTGCGTTTGCTTGAATTATTAAATCTTACGATTCTATATTTCGTAAGGGAGCTTGCTTCCCGTGTGATTCCTCCCCCCCCCCCCCTCCCCTAAAAAAATGAATGCTCCCTAATACCAGGCAAACAATACGACATCCAAATCTCGATTCCCTGAGAATACCATTATTTGTCTGGGTGTAGAATCATCTTATTATTGTTAAACAAGTAGCACGCAACTACAAAGGTCCGAGTACCAAACCTTGTGGAACTCCACTAGTGGTCACCTCTGAAATGTGACATCAGAGGTGACATTTCGATATCCGGACACGCTGTATCGGTTTTCCAGGTAGCTAATAAGCAGTTTCACGCTTTTAGAGGACAGAACATAGGCCGTGAGTCGTAACCAAGCAGTAGGTCGTGAGGTACATAACATCGAATACTCTGCTTAGGTCCATAGCAACAGATCCAGCTTGATTGCTTCAAGTTCAGTTGTCAAAAACTGAAAGTCTTTAGACGCAGGAAACTGAAAAAAAGTAGATGATGTAAATGATGTAAGATGTAGGAAAGAGAAAGAAGCTTGATGTAGGATGTAGGATTGGGTAAAATGCATTGATTGGCTCACAATCATTCAGCTACTAGCCAATTGTTTAATTTCTCTTTTAATATTTTTTCTTTTCTCTTTTTTTTTTTTTTTTTTTTGCTTTATAGACAAAGGTTTTTGCCAAAAAAAATTAGAAGAAGAAAAATGCAAAAATGCTTTCGTTGTTTGAGTATCTTTCAATATTAATGTTTATATTTCTGTTAAGCCTTATGCTAATTAATTCGTTCCTAACAGGAAAAACGGTTTATATTCCGGCTTATTTATCACAATATTGCTGCAAAATTCCGCTTCCTTTTTCAATCGATTACTCAAGCCTTATTTAAAACAAGCATGTTTAGAAATTCCCAACAGGAAAAACGATTTATATTCATAATTTATCACAAGGTTCATTTGCTGCTAAAATGCTTCCTCTTTCAAGATTGCTATATCGATTTTATGAAGCCCCGAAACAAAGTCAGGGCGCAGTTAGTACCTCAAAAGACACTACCGCTGCATGGGTTAATCAAAGTCAATGCACAGCTTACTTGGTCACTTTATAAACATGATTAGAATTACAAAATGGCATTGATCGATTTTGGATAAATAACTTGTATACCTTTTTTTTTTTTCATTTCCTCGTTTTCATTCTTTTACTTTCATGATCAGTAAACAAACGTAATCTATATTATTTTTCTCTTTCTTAGTATAATCGTAATCTCCCTTTTTGTTTCAATCCGGATGAGTGTAACAATATTTGAGACTTAATTTTGAAGTCATCGACATTTTCCGGCTGCGTTCCCTACGGCATCTGTTGCTAAAGACAATGTAAAGAGAGCAAATAAGGAAGTACAATTTACAATTACATTACAATTTTCTTCTTTCTTCTATGGTTAGTTTCCCTTTTTTCTCGGCATTTCTTTATCTTTAATTTCCTTCCCTCATTTTGTCAGTTTTCCTCTTTGCTTTCATATGCTTTGCTTTGCTTTGCTTTCCTTTTATCTCCTTTTCTTTTCTTTTCTTTTCTTTTCT